TGGGTGGAGCCCAGGAGTCCCATCCAAGCCAACCGTGGTCTTGAGAACCTTTGGATGGAGCCTGAGAAGGTTCTCCAAGCCCACCATGGTCCTCCTGGAGCTTCTAGGGTGGATGGACCTTCTTAAATGACGTTGAGTGGAGTCTAGGAAGCTTCTCTAACCCGACCATGGTCTTGGGGACCTTCTGGAACCACGTGAGGTGGAGCTGGAGAAGGTTCTCCAAGCCCACCATGGTCCTCCTGGAGCTTCTAGGGTGGATGGACCTTCTTAAATGACGTTGAGTGGAGTCTAGGAAGCTTCTCTAACCCGACCATGGTCTTGGGGACCTTCTGGAACCACGTGAGGTGGAGCTGGAGAAGGTTCTCCAAGCCCACCATGGTCCTCCTGGAGCTTCTAGGGTGGATGGACCTTCTTAAATGACGTTGAGTGGAGTCTAGGAAGCTTCTCTAACCCGACCATGGTCTTGGGGATCTTCTCAAACGCCGTTGGGTGGTGTCTAGGAGGTCCATCCAAGCCAACCGTGGTCCTCCTGAAGCTTCTGGTCTTGATGGACCTTCCAAAACCACCTTGGATGGAGTTGGCTTGAGGTCCACCTCTTGATGGACCTTCTCGCTTTGGTCTTTCCAGGTGCCGAGGAGAAGATCTTGGCGGAATTCCGCGACTCGTGTCACCAGCACCACCACGTCCCCGCGGACTTTCACCTCCAGGCCATGGTCCGCTCGGCCGGCAAGTTGGTCCTCATCGACAAACTCCTCCCCAAGCTCAAAGCCGGTGGCCACAAGGTCCTCATCTTCTCCCAAATGGTCCGTTGTCTCGATATCTTGGAGGACTATCTCATCCAGAAGAGGTGAGGTCACCAAAGGGGGTGGTGGACCTTCTAGAAGGAGCTTCAGAAGGTTCTCCAAGCCAACCGTGGAGCTTCTGGGCTTGGTGGATCTTCTCAAATGACGTGGGGTGGAGCCTAGGAGGAGTTTCCAACCCAACCGTGGTCTTGGAGACCTTCTCGAATGACATTGAGGGGAGTCTAGGAGGTCCCTCCGAGGCGACCATGGTCGTCCTGGACCTTCTGAGGTTGATGGACCTTTTGAAATGATGTGGGATGGAATTTAGGAAGCTTCTCCAAGTCAACCATGGTCTTGGTGGACCTTCTAGACCAACGTAGGGTGGATCTCGAGAAGGTTCTCCAAGCCCACTACGCTTTGGGTGGACCTTCTGACCTTGGTTGACCTTCTAAAACACGTGGGATGGAGCCTAGAAAGGTTCTCCAACCCACCCATGGTCTTGGTGGACCTTCTAGACCAACATAGGGTGGATCTCGAGAAGGGTCTCCAAGCCCACCACGCTTTGGGTGGACCTTCTGACCTTGGTTGACCTTCTAAAACACGTGGGATGGAGCCTAGAAAGGAAGGTTCTCCAAGGCCACCACGCTCTTGGTGGACGTTTTGACCTTTTTTGACGTTCTAAAACATGTGGGATGGAGTCTAGCAAGGTTCTCCAACCCACCCATGGTCTTGATGGACGTTCTAGACCAACATAGGGTGGATCTTGGACGTTTTGACCTTTTTTGACGTTCTAAAACATGTGGGATGGAGTCTAGCAAGGTTCTCCAACCCACCCATGGTCTTGATGGACGTTCTAGACCAACATAGGGTGGATCTCGAGAAGGTTCTCCAAGCCCACCACGCTTTGGGTGGACCTTCTGACCTTGGTTGACCTTCTAAAACACGTGGGATGGAGCCTAGAAAGTTTCTCCAACCCACGCATGGTCT